GGGGCCTACTACGACTTAGACTAGAGACAGAGCAGCTGTAACACGACTATAGTAGATTACGCAGGGCAACAGCGAGCACAACTGCTGCAGCGGCAAGTTGCGATACATGACACGCTCACTGACTATGCAAGGCAGCTTGTCCTCTGCGATGGCAGCATGTCCTCGGGATCCTCGTCATGAGCCTCGGTGCCAGGACTGTACCATAATAATGGAAGTAGCTGAAGCAAGCTGATGCTGAGATCCCAGCAGTTGGCATCCACTTCTCGATGGGCTGGAAGCCGATGAAGACCGATGGGAGAGAAGGAAATGGAAGAGAAGGCGTTCACTAGGCTTGGATTCAAACCGAACACTTAGACCTGGCCAACGGTGTGGGGAGCAACCCCGATGGGGCAGGGACTTAAGTAAGGCAACCTCGAGAGGCTCGACTGGCACTCTGCCTCTGTCGATCCAAGTCGCAAGGCTCCCTAACTAACGTGACAAGCATGGATGGCCTCCCCTCCTGGTTGGGAGAAAAATAAAAAAGCCACAACCACTGGACCACCCCACCCGGCACTTTAGCCCATGTGCCCGGGTGTCATATGCCACTGCCCTGGCACGTTGGCCCCAAGGCGGTCCAGGTACCATCGACAACACCTGACACCCGGCCAACGGTGTCCACGAACCGAGATGGGCAGTCGATCCGTGTGGGTAAGGTGGCACTCTGCCTCTGTCGATCCAAGTCGCAAGGCTCCCTAACTAACGTGACAAGCATGGATGGCCTCCCCTCCTGGTTGGGAGAACAAATCAAGCCGCAACCACTGGACCACCCCACCCGGCACTTTAGCCCATGTGCCCGGGTGTCATATGCCACTGCCCTGGCACGTTGGCCCCAAGGCGGTCCAGGTACCATCGACTCAGCACCTGACACCCGGCCAACGGTGTCCACGAACCGAGATGGGCAGTCGATCCGTGTGGGTAAGGGCAAGGTCTCAAGGCAAGTCAACATGTCACTACGGCCTCCCTTCTTTGTTCAATCACAACCCAAAACTATTTAAAAAGATTAAATTTTAAAAATTATTAACTTCAACAACAAATAAACAACAATTTTGTAGACATACAGCAGCAGGAAACCAGGTAGAACAACAGGAAGCCAATTGACTCACTCAGAAACAAAATTCACAAACATGTATTTTTTACACCAAAAATAAAATAAAAGAATTTTAACAACTGTAAAACACAAAAAAACCTATTTAAAAAACTTTTAAATACAAAACAATACTTTTAAATACAAAAAAACACTTTTAAACACAAATAAAGCCAACCACATACAAAAATGAGATTTTGGGTTCCTTTCATATAAGCCTTGTTGATCTAAACCCTGTGGTTCTGGTTCGGCGCAAAGGGTTAAGGACACATAACGGCTTGTCCTTTGATGCATAATCTACAGGAGCTTTTGCAACCGAGTGCCCGAGAATGACGATATCAAGAAGCTATCTTGAGAAACTCCAGTATAGCGACAGTAACCTGCTGATTGGGGCAAACCCTGAACCTTAAACCTGAACTCTTACTCCTGAACCCCCCAAGCCTAACCCAAAACCGTGTCCCCTAAACTCTAAACCAACAAACACACGAAGAGACCAAGCCTTAAACAATTCGGTTTTTCTGACTCAGTGAAGACCCCTTCTGTGCCTATGCACCAGGCCCAAGGGCCTTGGGAGTGAAGAGGCCAGCAAGAGGTCCGGAAGAGCCCGCGACGAGGCCGGGAAGAGCCCCAAACAGGCAGACATTGAGTGTGACAGCGCGTGCACGTAAAAGCTAGTACCACCGATGCTACTAATATTACTAATACTACTTATACTACTAATACTACTAATACTAGTATTACTATTATTAATACTATTACTACTATTACTATTGTTGCTACTATTACTACTATTACTACGATTACTACTATTACTATACTATTACTACTGAGACTGAACCATAGCCGAGCCTCCAAAAACCGACCGCACGTACACACAATGCGTTTTTCTGTAAATGGGTCGCTAGAGTCTCAGCATTAGCAATCTGTCGACTGTACTTGCACAGGATCGCACACTCGACAGTCCATCTGGCCCTCAGGGAGACTTCGACGCCAGCTGAGCTGCGACTCGGCACGATCGAGCCTGAGACCGAGCGTGGCCAGAAGGAAGAAGTCGAGCTCGAGGCCGTCGGATGGAAAACAGCCGACGATGGGCCTCATGGCGACAACAAGATGTCAGTCGTAAAAGACGAGCAGCCAGGAGAGCTGCGACGAAGGCCGATGCAAAGCCTTACGACAACATCGCCGATGAGCTGCTCGAACTCGCTTGCTTGAGGGTCTTTCAGGGAGTTCAGGAATAAGCCCCTAAGCCCCTAACCCCGCTCAGTTTTCAATTTTTACCAAAACGATTGATCCTGTTCGGGCACTAAACAGTCAGGAAGCCCAGAACCGTACAAGCCCGACATGTCTGCAGGATCGACGATTTTGATGCATTTCTGGGGTTTCCCTTCCTTGCGGCGACCTTGGAAGTCTGATATTCAAGAGATCCGAGGGGCCTTGGAAATGGCCTTCGGAATAGGAGCGGGCACTGCAAAATCGGCGTTTTCGGTGCTTTTGTGGGGTTTGCCTCTCTTTCGGTCTTGGAAGCCGGAAATCCTTTGAAAATCCCGAGGGGCCTTGGAAATGGCCACCGGAAAAGGAGCGGGGACTGTAAAATCGAGGTTTTTGGTGCTTCTGTGGGGTTTCCCACATTTCGGGGCTTGGAAGCCGGACATGTCTGAAAAACCGAGGGGCCTTGGAAATGGCCTCCGGAAAAAGAGCGGATGCTGCAAAATCGAGGTTTTTGGAAGCCTGAAATGTCTGAAAATTCGAGGGGCCTCTGAAATGGCCTCCGGAAAAGGAGCGAGCACTGCAAGATCGAGGTTTTTGGTGCTTTTGTGGGGTTTCTTCCATTTCGGGCCTTGGAAGCCGGAAGTGCCTGAAAATCGCTGGCGTCCAATATCCCCGGCCTGCCCTCTCTTGCCAGTTTCTAAGACTGTTGCTCCTGTTTCCTATTGCATTGCAAGGTGCGCTCCTTTTTGTTACTGGAGTTCCAAGACCCAGATGTGGCAGTGCTTCCAATCCTCTTTGGGATGGAAGATGCGTTTTAAAAAATCGCGCAGCAAACTGTAGCGTTCGCCGAGGTGCGGCTTACAGTCTTTCGACCAGCGCACCACCCATGCCTCACGGTCCACCTCCTCGCCAGCGACCCGGACCGTTAGGAACCGATCCGGTCCTTTCGGCTTGCCGGGCCGCATGGCGAGGAGTGGCCGATCCCACTCATGTGTCTTCAGCATCAGCTCCTGCTTCATGAGATCGTCGATCCCTGGAGGCAGGCCGTTCCTGGGTGCAGACACACAGTGGTGGCACTGTCAGAAATTAGATCGCAAACTGAGGTCCCCACTCGAAGCGGAAGGCTTGCACTGTTGCATTGCAGCAGCCGTGCGTCCTCTCCGCCTTTTTCTGATGCTTCGACAACACCTGCGCGAGACTTACTTCGAGGTCATTCGCCTTCCGACCGTTTCCGGCCTTTGGGCTCATGCTCGAGGCAAGGGTGCGACGATGGTCGATGCACTCGAAAAGAGAGTTGAGCCAAAAATCTGCAATAACACGGGACTTGTAGTTGTGCGGAGCCCGATGCCGAAGAAAGCAGTGCCTTCACTTCAGTTGAAGCTTCATTGACACTGGAATCAACGTTCCGCGAGAGTATATGGAGGGGGTGGGGGGGCGGGGGGGGCGGGGGGGGCTCAAGCGAGCTAGAGAAACGTCTTGTGTGTACCGCGCCGGTTGCCAAGGATTGTCGTGCCATGACAATCCACACGCCATGACAATCTGGGGGCTCGTAATTAGGGGGTCAGATTGTCACGTCATGACAATCGGATTGTCGTGTCATGACAATCTGGGGGTCCCTCGCCGTCTAGATTGTTATGGCATGACAATCGGAATCTTGAGCTTTCTCCCGCCAAATTGTCACGTCGTGACAATCTGGAGGAAAGAAGGTGGGGAGGGGGGGGGCTGGATTGTCATGTCGTGGCAATCTGTGGGGGGGGCGGGGGGGGCAGGATTGTTATGGCATGACAATCTGGGGATCTGGTCGACTCCAGATTGTCATTTATGACAATCTGGGGGGGCGGGGGGGAGGGGGCTCAGTGGGTAGAGCTCGCGGGGCTCAGAGCTTTCTCTGTCTGCCGGAATTCCGGCGTGCCGAGTCAAAGCCACACAGAAGCCAAGGCCAAATCCTTAGGAAATAATATGGTTCTCTTGTTAGTATGGTAACCCAAACCCTTAAGCCTTAAGCCCTTAAAGGAACCCTTATTAAACCTAGTGCCAAGCTGGCCGAGCCTGCTTCTGCCGACATGTCCCCTGCAAGCATAGCTTCCTGTGACTCGGCGTGTCGGGCATCAAGTTTAGGGTTTTGGGGTTTAGGGTTCAGAGTTTAGGGTTCATGGCTTAGGTTTTTTTGTTTTTAGGGTTTAGGGCTCAGGGTTTACAATTTAAGGGTTTAGGGCAGGCTACCGGGTTGCGCTTTGCAAATCTGTGTTGCACTCTGTATACATGACAATCATTCTTGATGCAGGGTTCCCTGCAGATGGAGCCCAACCTCCTATCATCACGCTCGCCTTGGGGCAACCGGGCAACCTTTTGCAAAGATTCAATACTTCCTCGGAGAACTCCCAGGCTCTGTTGTATTGTCGGCAAAATTGTCGGGGCTCTATTACCTAGACTGTTGATAAGTCTTCATGCCCATATAAACTACCCTGTACCAGCCCTAAATCGTCCAAAATCACCGGCCCTGCGCGGCCCCTAAACCCCACAGACCTCTAAATGTAAAACTTCCACCACAACCATAGTTAGACCTTAAACCAATGTGCCGGCTAGTCCCCCAAAGCCACGTAAGCTCTGAACTGCCCTAATTACCAGTAGAAGCATTTCAAAGACATTAGAACCATTAGAGAGGTCATTAGATCAAAGGCGCTCTCATCCTTATTCGTATAGCTCTGACTGAAGAGTGGAGAATCATATCATAGTATCCCCTTGTAGTCCTACATGGTAAGTCGACTGGGGCTAGGACATAATTGCCAAGCCCTACAAAACTGTGCGGAGTTGCAGCGCATGAATGAAAGGTCAGTCCTAAACCCGCTCCCCTCCCCCCCCCTCTCCCCCGCTGCTCCTGTGGCGAGTTCGTGTCAGAAGTATCCAGGGCCTCGAAATCCAGGCCTCTGATCCACGGGCCTCCAATCGACATGCGTTTAAGAAGGGGGTATCAGCTTGCGGTTATCATTGTAATCAGGGTTTACGGAGAAATGCTGCTGTTTCAATATGTGGTACAACTATTATTGTTTATCATGTGTTCTTCTTATTGCATGAAGACTAAAGCTTGTTGCTGCTGAAGTAGGCATGCTGCCAGTAGAGTAATTGTTGACAGTACTGCTGGTGTTCCTGCTGGTACTGTTCATATTGCGGCCACTATAATTGACCCTGTTCCCATTCCCAGTTACTAGCCCTACCTCTTACTAGTATCATCATCTACTATCTATGGTTGTCTGTTGCTTTTGTTATTAGTTGCACGCTGTCTTGCGTCGTTTCTGTTCTCGAACTTGTCGGGTGGCGAGGGGGGTGAGAATTATGGCTTTCCTGCCGACCATTTCCCTTAACCCTTTAACCCTGAAACTGAGAACCTGAACTTGTATGGAGAGATAGAACCAGAAACGATGTAAATACAAGGCTTTTGGGCTGAATGGGTGTTACACCTCCCCGGACACAAAGACAGAAACAAAGAACGGCAGAAAAAGAACGAACGACAGGCAAAACGATCGACAAACAAAGAAAGAACGACCGACATGACGAAAAGAAACAAAACACAGAGGCACATACATAAAGAAGCAATGACATAATAATTACATACAGAACACAAGCTCCTAAAGAAGGACAGAAAGAAAGCGCCGAAGCAGTTGCATCTCCGAACCCTCTTCTACGTACTACGGCCCGTAAGCTATGCCCCTGTAGCTTCAGGACTCGTCATACACACAAAAGATGAACCCTGAGTAATCAGACGTATAACAACTTTATTAAAACACACACAACACACACATGCATGCATGCATGCGCACACACACACACGCTCTCAACAAAAGTCCCTAAGACCTTGCGAAACCCAATCAAATGAAGCCTGCCTTCCTCCAGCGTAAGCGGCAGCCCCAAACTCTCGGAGTCACTCTCCGATCTGTCCCACCTGCAGGGCAGCTCCGATAAGGTTTGGGGTGTCCCTGGGTCTAACCCTAAACCCAAACCGGCTTAGGGTGCTCAGTTTGGGGTTTTAGGCATCGGTATTGCATACGTACGACAGGGAGCAAGTAAGCATGTCCCGCAAGTTTGAAACCGACCAGAACATGCCTAGGAGCACACCATATAAAGCCTTTGCTTTTACACTCGCCTAAACCCTGAACTCAAACCAACAAAACACACCTTGGTCCTGAAATTCTCTTTAAACCCTGTAATAAACACCAAAACCGAAACTCTCAACCCACAGAAGCTTGCGTTTGGACATTCTCACCTCTCCTCCCCGGCGTCGCAGCTCTCCAGCTGGACGCCTAGCAGAAGATGCAGCACCGAGCTCAAGGGCTCCAAGAGTTAGGCTTCACTATAAAGATCCCTGTACCCACATAGTTTATACTTTGGGCCCAGTGTACCTATATAGGGAATACTTCAAGGCCAAAGTATATACTATTTGGGTACATGGACCCTTAGGGGTTTAAAGTAGAAGCCAGAAACAATATCCTCAAGGTAATTTTTCTGATCCAGCACTACTGTGATCATCCATCCATGTTCCAACTTTCCGAGTGTCAAGATATGGGAGTTTTCAAACATGGGGGACCCTAATATGTACCCTAAACCGTAGAATTCTTATGATAAGGACCCCAAAATAAGGTACCCCTTATTTTCGGAGACTCCCATATGGGTTTAGGGCTTATCGGCATTGTGGCCGTAGGATTTTTGGAATTAATTTAGGGGTCGGGATCCAGATCCTAAACACAAAAGCCCTTGCAAGGGTTCGTTCGCGCGATCTCAGTGTAGACTTGGCATAGAAACTTGGCCTGGGTAACTTAGATTACGCTCCTGAAAAAGATCTGCAAATTGTGACGGAACCACACACTGAAAGGAAATGTCAAGACCTGAGAAGGGCTTATGCAGTCATAATTACTCTAAGCGAGATTGCGTAGACTATCTGTAGTTTACCCGATCCACCAAACTTGCTCTGAGGGCTCCAGGACACTCTGACCACTTACATGCTACAAAGATCTCAGCGCGTGCAGTTTGTGAAAACCAAGGGGCCAGCCTAGACCCACAACAAACCGATCGGTAGTGTAGGTATCACCTAGAGAGACAAGACTGGCTCACACCAATAACGTATGCCAACATATTGAGAACCTCGCCTGTAAACGACACACACACAACCCTGGAAAACTCTTGTGAACCCCACCACCAAGGTACTGCTGAAACTAGGAAATCCCGAATGCTCGCCCCTAATCCTGAATCCTTAACCTGAATTAAATCCGAAACCCTAACGTCGAACCCGAAAACCCTGAACCCTAAATCCTATACACCCTCAAACCCGAAACCTTAACGCGCCAAGCTGAAACCCTAAAGCCGCGCCTTCTTCCTCAGTCATCGCATCCGGGCAGGTCGCCAGGACGTCTTCAGGATCAAGGCCGCCTTGAGATGGGGACGGGTTGCTGGGAGGATCTTGCGGTTCAGGTTTAGGTTTGGGGTTTAGGGCTGAGGATTTAGGGTTAGATGTTGGAACTTCGAAATTCCGAAGGTAAAGGTATCAGTACCTTCATTGGGGCTATAAGTAAGTATCGCTGATCCTCGCAAAGTGGGTATTGCCCCCCCATACACGAAGAGTCTGCTTTCAGGCTACTTTTCAGGTTATGGCCATTATTCAACTATTTACTGAGTGGGTGCAGTATCCAATGAACCAGGCTCTATAGTCTGGAATGCAGGGTTTAAGGGTTTAGAGCTTAAGGCTTTTCGGCTTCAGGGCTTCAGGCTAAGGGTTGAGGTTTCGGGTTTGAGAGTTTATGATTAAAAAACAATATACTGTCCGGTACTGCCAAGTACCAGGTTATGCTATACAGGACTAAGTTGCAGTATACTGTGCTATACTACAGCATACTGAACGATATTATACTATGCTGCAGTATACTGCATTATGCTATACTTGAAGTCAATACTGGACCATACTGAACTGTACTGTGCTATACTATACTATACTGTACTATACGATACCTTGCTGTACCATACTTCACACTACTATACCTATGCATTACTATTATGTACAATACGATGCCTTGCTGTACTATACCATACTCTACTTGACGAGACTGCACTCTACTGTACTGTATGTACTGTACTATACTATGCAAACTTGCTGTAGTGCTATATTCTGGGCCTTCCGGCTGTTCTCGCATGTTGAAGTACATCTTGTTGCAGGTGAGGATTATATATATATATATATACACATATATATATATATATATATATATACACACATATTTACCTATATACATGCGCATACAGTCCTACGAAAATAGACAGACGGGTAAACCTGTAAGGATGCACGTAGCAGTATAGAGTGTTCGAGAGAGCAACAATACATACAAAGATAGTTCGATGGAAGGGTAAACAGACAATAGATGGTTCAAGGTGCAGGTGTAATTTGTACAAAAACCGACATTAAAATACAAACCCTACCGCACACGAACATGACACAAACAATGAAACGCAGCCCCTTTAAATCCTAGATCACTACATCTTCGAGTTTGGAATCAACCGGTAGCATAACAAGGGCTTTGAAGCAGCCCCGGCAACGCAGGTATCTGGGGGTACTCGTAGGGTGATATGGGTGTTGACGATGCAGAATCTGCCTGCGGCAGCGCTACCGTCGATGCCGACGGGAACGTCCGGCACGTCCGAGAGAGAACTAAAGCCTCCTCAAAGTGTTGGGGCTTGACGGCTTGGGCTTTAGGCTTCGGATTTGGGTTTCAGGTCCAAGGATTTAAAGTTTAGGCTTAGGGGCACGTTCGGGCTTTGTCGTTCCGGGGACTGGGCGGGTGAACCGTCTCGGGATTTGGCTTTAGGCTTTGCTGTTGCGGGAAGCTAGAGCTGGGGTTTGTTAAATGAATCAATCTCTCTCTCTCTCTCTCTCTCATCTCTCTCTCTCTCTCTCTCTCTCTCTCTCTCTCTCTCTCTCTCTCTCTCTCTCTCTCTCTCTCTCTCTCTCTCTCTCTCTCTCTCTATATATATGTACCTTCCATGCCTGTAGATATAAACACCTCTGTATACATATATATATATATATATATATATACACACACAGACATATCTATACAAATACTTATATATATATATATATATATATATGTATATATATATATATATGTATGCAGCATCCATGCATGCATATGTATAACGCATGGAATGTCGTCTGTAAATATTAAAATATGTGTGGATATACATATATATATATATATGTATATATAACATATGTTTTCATATATACAAAAGTAGTTATTTTCACAGTTATACACACAGGACTATGTGTCAATATCTCAACATGTGCGTATTTAAACAGATCTATATACATATTCAGATTCATGAATCATGAGTTTCTCCTCATCATCAGCATCCTTAACGCCGTATGCAGCCCTTCATCGTCGTCACCAGCATCACCTCCACAATTCAAAAGCACCACAGTCATCTTCAGAATGGGTCGGAAAACCCTCAACCCTAAACCCAAAACCTTGCACGAAACCCTCAACCCAACCAAAGAGAGCTCCTTGGCGTTGCGGCCTCAGGCGCGCCCAGGGCTCTGATCGCCGGCGCCGTGTTGGAGCCGCTGGCAACTCTTGGCCCTCAGTTATACATATAATGTGTGTATATATATATATATATAGATATATAGTATATATATATGTATATATATATACATATGTATATATACATGTATATATATATATATATATAGATATATATAGTTGTGTCTTACTTTGGTTTTAGGGGTTGGGTTTTTTTGGTGGTCCCTGTCGCAGCCCTGCTCCATGAAGACACGGATCAGCTGCTCTCAGGCTTTGCCTCGCTTGTTAGACTGGTCGACAATGTTCTGTGGACCAGCAAAACGGGTGGTTGTCAAAATTATGGTCCTTTTTTGGGTACCCTAAATATTAGGAGCCGTACTATAATAGGGACCCAAGAATGGACCAGAATTTTGACTACCACCCAAACGTATTGCTAGCTCGTAGCTACACCATTCGGCGAACCCTCTGCCGCGCTGCCTCAAAGCTCATACCCGCACCTGCAGAGCTTTCGGCGGTGGAGGAAGCATCCCCAACTGCCTCGGCGGAGTTTGCCCCTAATCGGCCCGAAGCTTGGGCAGCTCCTCCATCAGATGCTTCGATTGCTCATCAAGCTGAGCCTGCAAGATCTGCACCATCGACATCATGGCGGACTCTGCTTTCGCGGCAAAGGACGATGCTGATCCGGTATCTGCTCTCAGCAGCTGAAGTGCCCGGGAGCTGAGACAATCACTTGTTTCTTGGATCGATGCCGTCGCCTTGACGGGGCCTAGACACCCTTGAAAGTGGAACAGGGCGTTTCGACGCAATGGGCACGAAGTCCTCAAACGTCTGCTGTCGCGACTCCTCATGCTACAGTGGCTTTGCTGCGAGTACCTACTCAAATCTACAATGACATCATCAGACCGCTTGTAGGTTATCTTGTAGGGGTCGACTTGTGACCTGCGTCATGATAATTAACCTCATCATCAAATTACTAGTACTATTCCTATCAGGCCTTTAAAGGGGTCCTTTAGGGGTTCAACAGTAGCGGTTTAGGGTTTAGGGATTGGGTCTAAGCTGTAGCGCTCCAAGACTCCAAATAGCCCAAACTAGATACTATTCCCAGACCTTCCAAAATCCCTTAATTAAGGAATATACCTTAAATTATAGTAGGATCCCTAATATCATTTAAGGTATCTTCATTAATTAAGGGATTTTGGAAGGTCTGGGTTTATCGACTCCAGACCCCGTGTAGGTACTACTCGTATACGTGGAATCTTAGGGTACTACCTAGAATGTGGCCTAGGGTATATACCATACTATACTCAAACTCAAAATAAGAAATTCTGTGAGGCAGTACTACATAATTGGCTTACTAATACTTCAACCGCTAAAGGATCCCCTTGAAGGGCCCTTTTATCTAGAAGCCTCGGAATCCTAAACCCTAAACCCAAACCCTAAACCGCTACTATTGAAAACTGAAAGGGTTCCATCGCACCTAGACTCTATTATACCCCCCCAAAATCCCACTAATAACTATCAAAGAACCCTTAAAGGATCCCCTTGGGCATTGACTCCATTATACCCCAAAGCCCCACCATTAAGGACCATAAGGGCTCTCTTAAAGAACCCTCAAAGGATCCCCTAAACCCTAACTCCTAAACCCTAGACCCTACCTTTTGAAGGGGCCCCGGGCTTCGGAAGGAAGGAGAAGCCAGGCCCGCGGCTAGGGCAGCTTCAATGTCCAGGAGGAGGTCGAGGTCCTGACAGAGGCATGTTTGGACTTTAGGGGTTTAGGGTTTAGGGTTGAAGGTTTGGGAGATAGGGGTTTAGTAGGAGTGTAGGGTTTCAGGGGTTAGAGCTTAGGGGTGTGCGGGTTTAGGGGTTTGGGTCTAGGCTGACGGTTTACGGTTCAGGACAAAGGCATCCATCATCGACAGGAACTATTTTGCAGGTGCCGTCTTATGCCCTCAAGCAGCTTTTGGTAAACGCTGTGTTCGTTTGTAAGCTTGGGATTGAAGTTCAACCGAACTCTGAAACATAAGCCATTTTGGATCAGAGAACATGTGCTCAGGGCCTTCAACGCCAGAGGCTGGGGAATAATAGCGTTACTCTGTGGGTGTACCCAGACCTTCCAAAACCCCTTAATTAAGGAATATACCTTAAACTATAGTAGGATCCCTAATATCATTTAAGGTATATTCCTTAATTAAGGGATTTTGGAAGGTCTGGGTATATATCATGTTGCTGAGCAGCTGCTGAACCGTACTCAAACCGCTCCTTGCACACCAAAGATCCTTCCTCAATAATTCCTCAACTCGCAGGACCGCGACCCCTATCCCAACAAGCCGAACCTGATTTGACTCCTGACCACTTCAATGCATGGGGAACAGCTTTGGGATTGGAGCCGACCTACTGTACGTGTCTAAACAGAGCTTCGGGATAGGGGAAGTGCAGGCACTAGGCGAAACGGAGGCACCGGAAAAGCCGTTAAACGGGACACTGCGAATTGGCATTTGGAACAGGAAGGGCAGCAGAATTGCAAGGCCTCTTCTCGCGTTTCTGGTGCCTCAGACGGTTAGGGTGTGAAGAGCCTACAGGGCTGAAGAGCTTTAGGGCCGTTTACAATCGGGGCTTCAGAAGGATGCAGTGCGGTTTGAGCCCCTCAACCCTGAGCGCTCAACCCTGAACCCCCAACTCTGAACTCTATATATACCCTAAACCCTAAACTCTACCATAACGCCCAAACCTCTACACTCCATATAAGCCCTGATACCTGCGCTGTCGATCAAATCTCCTACACAGCTCCCAACACCTGTGACCGAAGATAGGAAGGCACGCATTACAGTTGCAAAAGGGTCTACGAGAGGGTTTAGGGGTTAGGGCTTTGGGTTTGGAGGGTATCAGGAAGGCCAACCGTGCACGTAATTACACTCCTAAACCTCAACCCCGTGTCTTCATTCAGAGGCACTGCCGACTTGCCCGCCCTAGCACGGCCGTGGCGAGCAGCTGTCGTAGCCGCCGTAGCCCCGCAGATGGCAGTGGCGGTCTCGGGGGATGCCTCTCTAGAGCGGCACGAACCCTAAACCGTAAAACCTCAATCCCAGAATCTAAACCCTGATCCCTAAACTCTAAACACTAAACTCTAAACCGCTCTAAACCCTATATACACTAAATCCTATACCGTTAAGCGCAGGGTGTTTGTAGGACGTCGAGTCTTGGGCTTACGAATCCCAAGACTAGAAAAAGTAGGGTTATGGTTAAACCTTAAATACAAAAGTGTCAAGATTTTACGCCATTTTGGTTTGAAGGGTGCGGACTTGAGGCTTCTTGTTCAGAGTTTAGGGTTTAGCGTTTGGGGTTAAGTTCAGTGTTTAGGGCCATCGGTATGCTAGGGGCCGTTAGCAATCGGGTTCAAAGGTCTTACATTATAGCCGTAAATCGGAATCCCGCAAACAGTAAAGTCTACATGAAACCCCAAACCCTGCACATCCTAAACTGCAGAACACCCTGTGGCCTCATGCTTGTGTCGGTTGGAGGCAATCTGCTCAGAATCGTAGCCGTCTTCCTGCAGCTGGTCGGTTTGATGTCTAAGCCTACACCCTAAACACTGTAAGCGCTAAACCCTAAACCCTAACCCTTAAACCCTAAACCCTAAGCCCTAAACCCTCTGAAACCCAAGGAACCCTACAACGAAAAAATCGCAATCTGAACTCTGAAGCTCTGATTCTGAGCTTTTTCCCCGAAACCCTGAACCCTAAGATTATGATCTTTCTGGCCTGCGATTTAGGAATTTAGGATTTAGGAATTTAGGAATTTAGGATTTTCAAAATTGCAATCTGGGCTTTGGGTTCCACGGTTCAGGATCTTCCAGTTTTGTAGGAAACTCGGATTTGTGAGCTGGTTGTTGCGTGCAGAGTACCATACGGGAACACTGCGGCTCCTCCTGCAGCACCTGCTGAGCAGGGAAACCTGGTGCACCGGAGGATATAGATGCAGCAGGCTCTTCAGCTGTTGTTGCCGATGCGAGCTCCACAGAAGCCGCAAGCTCTGGAGGCGTGGATGAGCTCTGCCTGACGACATGGGAAATTCAAAAAATGGGGATGGGCAAAACAACTCGAGGTCACTCAATCGTTCGGAGCCGTTTTGCAACCTTTTCCCCGCAGTCGGACGAGCCCACCAAACACCACCAGCTACGCACTCTGATTCAATGGCTGGCGCACACGAGCACCGCAACATCTGAACCAAAAAGAGATGTACACCCCGAAACTATAAGACTGCTACAACCACAGACCCTATCAGTATAGACACAACCGCAAGGAACTTCCGGAACTTACGGGTCCACGCCTTTGCTGTTTTTTACCCAAACCGACTTGAGCCTTCTAAAGCCCCATGCTTACCTTTGGTTAGTATGGAGTGGAAGAATGGTAGTAATAGTAGCTATTGTACCCCATTCCTCCATTCCCTAAACCCTAAACCCTAAACCCTATACCCTAAATCCTAAACCCTAAGCCCTAAACCCTAAACCCTAAACCCCATTCCTCCATTCCCTACTAACCAAAGGTAAGCTATAGGATCATTAAGGCCCCTATATGATAGTACCCTTCTAGATCCCTTATAGTAACCCTTCTAGATCCCTTATAGTAACCCTTAAACACCCCTTTAGAAGGCCCCTACATTAGGGTACCCTTATAGATCCCTTATAGTAACCCTTATAGACCCCTTTATAAGGCCCCTTTCATGGCGAACCTCGGCGACATGGTCGCAGGGTCTGCGGGCTCCGTCTGTGCCTCACGGCTCTCCCGCTGGGCGTCCTGAAGGCTACTTGAAGGATCATGGGACTTATGGTAACTATGGTTTGGGGTTTGGGGTTTAGGGGGGTGGGGTTTAGGATTTAGGGTTTGGGGCTTAGGGGGTTAGGGTTTAGGGTTTAGGGGGTTTGGGTTTAGAGGGTTAGGGTTTAGGGTATAGGGTTATAAGTAAGGTCACTGTAGTTATAACTACTTCCAACCCCAGTTAGGGTACTTATGACCTTACTTACTAAGTCCCATGATCGTTTAAGTACCCTGTGTCTCCGCACCTACATTGGCCTAATATGCTTAGTTTTGGTCTCTTCTGCCGCTGGACTACAAAATCTTTTCGGGGTTTGAGCTCTTAGCTCGTTGTCTCTCGGGAAACTTGGGGTTTGCGGTGTTAGCTGCTGTTAGCTCGTTGTGTTTTTTGGGCCAACTTTGCTATGGTGGTTCTCAGGGGCGACGCAGAGGGCACTTTGAGAGAACTTCGGGTTTGGTGTCGCTGGATATTCCCGTTGCGGAGCCAAGCTTATTTTGGTATATCTCTTACACACCAACGTGACTTCTAACGAAGTCTGTCCGTATGGGCCTTCTATATAATTGCATCATTCCACTGCATGTGTAGATGGGGCCTATGTGGTAACCAGCAGGCTTCTTGAGTAAGAGGCAAAACTCAAAGGCCCTGAGGGGCGGTAGCGAATCTGAAAGCACCTCGAGGGCGGTCAAAAGTCCACTGTTCACTAGTAAGAAGGGGGGAGCTTGGGAGCTTCACACAGAGGTCTCTCGTTTTTCTGAGCAGTGTGTATGGGTGACAGGCCATGTGTTTTTTTTGTACAGGGGTGGGGTGGGGGCGCGGGGGGCGGCTCTTGCAGTTTGGATGCTGCTATGTGGGACCTGTGATAGGACCCGCCTTGTGTGGTTCTGTCTGTCTTGTTTACGTCGCCTTGCCTATCCTGGAGGGCCGGAGAGCCCACAACACCTAGCTTGGTCAATATGCAGTCAGTCATGGTAAAAGTACATCTTCAAAAGTTAAAGAACTGTCACACCTTCAGGGCTTCGGGTTTTGCGGTGTAGGTTCACTGCGACTTTAAAGTCAGATCCAAACCCCAGAAGACCTAGCAGAAAAGTCAGCTTTTTGGCTTCTGCCGCTGCGTCCATGATCTCCTTCCATGTGCTGAAAGCAGCCTGCAGTGCCTTAGTTGCTAGCCAGCGACAACACGAGCTTGCAGTTAAACGCTCCCAACTGCTCAAAGTTTGCTGACCCTGCGACGAAGATGCGGGTACTTTCAGCCCATGCTGCAGCATCAGTCGGCCCGCCATAGGACTCCGCACCAAAAGTCTGGTCAAGGAAGACAAGGGGTAAAACGAAGAGTGCCAGATATGCCCATTGTAGACCATGAGCCTGCTCAGGGATTGAAAGCCACCAAGTCTCCCGTCCTGATCTTCTTGCCCGTTCTGCTCTCGCTCCTCTTCCTCCTGTTCTGAGCATCGTTATGTGTCCGCGCATGGTTGCTGATAACTGTATACATGTGGCAATGTAATCTGTTGACGTGACGCATTCGATGCTCCTACAAAGTGACATAGGTCATCTTGGCCCATCTAGTTCTCTCAAGTTGTAACATGAGATGTTGTAACATCTCGAGATAATGAATCACCGCGAGGTGGGTGTATTCTTCTCCTCGGTATTCGTATGGTGGTTCTTTCTGTTGACATTGCTTCGCGTACTGGTGCAATTGATTAACAACGGTTAGTGTTGGGACTGTGCTGGCCGGGGTGCTGTCACGAATATTAACATGGATATGAGTGTTTTGATAATGGCCGCAAGAAATGCAGGCGACCTCCTTCTCCTACTACTACCCCGCCCGCCCCCCGCCTCGCCATATATTAACTCCCTCTCGACCTTAAAATTCGGCTATGTCGGAACACTAACACGGCGTCCGTGCCTGTTCATCCTAAACGGCTCCACGTGCACCAGCTCGAAGAGCCCAGCATGATCTTCGCGTCTGGGCACTGCCGGGCCCGGCCAGAGCCCAGCACAGGTGCCACAACCTCCCAAAGAGTGGACTGGGTTTAAGGTCCGAAAGGGCTTGGGGTATGAGGGATTGGGATTGGGTCTATTAGAAGCTATAGGGTTCGCAGCTCTAGGCTCTAGGGTTCGGAACACTTTAAGATTTAACGTTCCAGGAAGCCTGCAAGAAAGACACCCTCCACCCTAAACAATTCCTGAATCCTAAACCCAGACCAACAGCCGCAAAATCAAGAGAAAATCTAAGGAGCTGTGCGGGCACATCAGGTGCATGGAGCCAGGATCAGCCACGCAATTGCCACTTTGGGCCCACTTCCTGACGTGATTGGCTTTACGGTCTGGGTTTAGGGTTCGGGTTTTACGGCTTTTTCGGATCGAGGGCTTACGATGAAAGCTTCAACATCTGCGGCGGATTCAGAACTACAACTCGAAGGACTAGCGCTTCGAGGGAGAGGGATGCTTGGACTTTAGGTGTCGTACCATGGGGTCTCATCTGCCGGTGGCAGGCTCAGGGATGCTGACTGTTGCTGGTTCATTGTACACTGGCTTTTGCCGAGTGCATGCCCTTCCCACAGGATAGCGTTCAAATTCTGAAAATACCTAAACCCTAAATTAACAGTTCATAGCCCGAAGCGTTTTTTGGGCTTACTCAGATCTGCGTAGCTTCGGGCGACCCAGCTTGGGCCTAGACGGCATCCTTTTGTAATATATATATATATATATATATTCCATTATACTATACACCATAATATGATGTTATATCATACTCTGCTGAAAACTAGACTTATGTTTCTGTTATATGAAAATATAACAAACACTGATTTATGTTTTTGTTGTATCAATATAAAGAAACTATTATTCTGTACCAACCCTAGATGAAGTCCTGGATGCGGAATTGATGAACTACCTGCAGACAGAGCGTCTCACATGCAAGGTGCCGATCCGAACCTTGTGACGGGAGGACGCCAAAAAAAGTCAGGCTTAGGACGTCTCGGGCCTTGGACAGGTAGGGTTGAAGCCCTTATAGAAATGCACCAACCAAACAGGAAAAAATCTTATAACAACTAAAACCTTATAAACAACTAAGACTACCTTACAAAGACCTTGGCCTGACAGAAGCCAGCTCCACTCTCACGCCGGGCAGCAGAGGCCACAATGGTCTTGCCCATGCCCTCCCCACAGTCGATGATACGCATCCTCGGGCTCTCTTGTCCAAGGGTAAAAGGAGGGACCCTTAATAAGGATCCCTAGGTATATACCCTTAATTAAGCTATTATATACCCATTATATAGCCCAGTATAGGGTAGGGGTCCCCATTAAGGGTCCCTCCTTTTCCCCTTTGATCTTGGGCAATGAGCAACCTTTCTCGGCATCCATGGGGTTTGGGGTTCATATCTAATGTTTAAAGAACTGCTATGGGCTTGCTGTAGATCTGTAGGGTTGATTCAGGGGTCTAGGAGGGCTTCATAAGACCATAATTAGGTAAATTAGTATCTATAGGGCTCCGCTGAGGGACTGTAGGGGTCCTTACCATAAGGTTCCTCATAAGACTTCCATAAGGGCACTTTATAAGTTGTGGGCCTTGGGATTGGGTTTATGGGTTGAGCCTTCGGATTTACTGTTTCGGGGTTTGGTTTCGAGTGTAGAGTTCATTGGTGTGCTGCCAGTGAGAAGGCAAACCCAGGCAGCAACACCACCACAAGAGCCCAACCAAAACTCCCAAATCTCTCAAACTCAAAGGAATCCGAAACCCAAAAATGCCAAGAGCCTGAGACCCTATAAAGCCCCAAAGCCCTAATCTGAAAGCCGGCTGCCTAACCCCCAAACCTTCCCTAGACAAACCACATAGCGTGTCCCCCTTTGCGCGTCCTTCTCTCTGGGTCCTTAAAGCACAAGCGGGGATCGTGGGTTAAAGGACGAAACGTTAGCCGGGTGCTAAAGTCTAGGGCGTATAGTGCCTAGAACTCAAGAGCACAAAACCCCGAAGGCCGAACCCGAAACCCTGAAGCCTCAAACCGCAAGCCAATCACACAAAACGGTTTAAGGTATAGGGTTTAGGGCTAAACCCTACACCCTAAACCCTAAATAACCCAAAACCCTAATCCCAAAACCCTGAACCCCTCAACTCTAAACCCCGAAACCCTAAACCACCCTCAACCCTAAACCATTAGAGCAAAGCAACCTGCTCCTCGAAATCTCGAAGGCATTGGTGCAAAGCCGTCTCCTCAAGAGCGACAAGGGTGGTTGTCATTATTAGGGTCCCTTTGGGGGTCCTTACTATATTTAGGGTACTCCAAAAGGGACCATGTTTTGACAACCACCCACAATATAGGGGCCTTCATGCCTTTATAGTTCGAATAGGGCTTTGGGGCACAGTATACTATAGTTATCATCAGGAACCCCCAAACGGCATAGGTAATTAAGGCCCCTAGATTAATTAGGGCTGCAGATACCTAAACAATGGGCTATTGGAGGGTATTGGATATGTAACCTACGACCCGGTTCTGGATCCCGAGGGCAGACGAATTTTGGCGGTTTCGGGCTTCGGGAAACTCAGCATGTAAGAATTTGGGGGTATAGGTCGGGGCGCAGAGGTTGTGGCTAGGATCCTGAGCTGAGCGTTTTGAATGCATGGCTTTCAAGACTTGGATTTTTGGGACAAGCGCGTGTTGGGGTAGAGTGTGGGGTTTAGCCCAAGGTGACGTGACTATGTTTGCTCTGCGTGTTGTCCCTCCATCTACACCATCATCTTCACCATCACCACTACCAAATTCCATGATGAGGGGCCATGAATATGGGAGTTTCCGAAAATTAGGGGTACCTTATTTTGGGGTCCTTATAATAAGGATGCTACTATTTAGGGTACTATAGTAGGGTCCCCTATTTTCGGAAACTCCCATATGGCGGTTGTTTTGATACGAGCTGCTCCAAGCGCTCTAGGACTGCGAAGCAGCAGTCGCATGAGCAGGAGGAGTAGTCGTCGTCGCCATAGTAGTAGTAGTAGTAGTAGTAGTAGTAGTAGTAGTAGTAGTAGTAGTAGTAGTAGTAGTAGTAGTAGTAGTAGCAGTAGTAGTAGTAGTAGTAGCAGTAGTAGCAGTAGTAGTAGTAGTAGCAGTAGTAATTAGTAGTTAGTAGTTAGTAGTTAGTAGTTAGTAGTTAGTAGTTAGTAGTTAGTAGTTAGTAGTTAGTAGTTAGTAGTTAGTAGGTAGTAGGTAGTAGGTAGTAGTTAGTAGTTAGTAGTTAGTAGTTAGTAGTTAGTAGTTAGTAGGTAGTAGGTAGTAGGTAGTAGTAGTAGTAGTAGTAGTAGTAGTAGTAGTAGTAGTAGTAGTAGTAGTAGTAGTAGTAGTAGTAGTAGTAGTAGTAGTAGTAATGGCAGTAATGAGTACTGGTAGGAAGATAAGGATAAGGCGTCATCGCCTCCATGCACACCGACGACCCGCGCTTGGACTTGTAGAAGGCAGTGCCGGTGTCGTTGAAGGCCTCTAACCCTAAACCCTAAACCCTAAACCGTGGGTGTGGGGAGATGTGTCAGGGCTTGGGGCTCAGACTGAGGCAGGGGGCTCTCGGGTCGTAGACCATCCTTTTACTTGGATAAAAGGGTGGGGCAAGGAACGAGAAAATTATCTGACGATTGAGGCGGCTACCGCAAGTTACAACGAAAATTGAGCCGCAAACGAATAATAACCTTGTCTAGGCTTTCGGGCTACTGCCAGAGGCGGAGAACTTAGAGAACCCTATACCGTAAACCCTAAACCCCTGAACCCTTTCAAGGATGAGAGCTGATGCAGCGGCAACGGACAAAGTAACGTGATGTGTGTAAGGTACCACTGAGGTGCGCCGTCCACTCCCGACCCCACTGCTCAGACAGACATGGTGCTGCCTAAACAGTGTATGCCACGTGGGTTACAAGTTTTATGCTTACAGGGTTTAATCTTTTAGCTTCGGACACTTGAGAACGTGTATTTCACTCCACCGGCCTCCTTTTCTGTTAAGGGTTTGGCTTTTAGGGTCGCAGGGAAGTATCAGTTTCTGCAGACACTCACTGCCGGAACCGAACTGCAACGGTGCCTTCCAAGACAGAGGAAGCTGTTGTACAAGCGCAGTTCTCTTCAGTTAAGTTGAGGCTAGCGGCGGTGCTCAAGTGTATGTTCACCACGGCATACTCCCAGTCAACGTGCACCAGAGACACGTTCGGAGGTTGATTCTGCATGCTGAAAATGCCCGCAGCATCCCAATAGCTCCTGAGAGACAGAACCCCAAAAACCCCACCCCTAGAACGTTAAGCTCTGCGACTGCAAACCCGCCACACAGAAGCCTTAAACAATAAAATCCTAAACCCTAAACCCTAAACCTTAAACAATAGAACCCTAAAGGCCCAAACTTTAAAACTCTCAGGGCTTGACCCGAAAAGCTCGAAAGCACGAGAACCATAAACGCTATGCTGGAACAGAAATCCTGCGCAAATCCACAATCCTATGAAGCCCTATACAGCCCTATGAAAGCTCTGAAGACCCCGAAAGGAAGTCTGAAAGGAACCCAAAGAACAGAACCCTAAACCTTGAAGACCTAAATCGTGCCCTAAGCCTGAAACCACGGAGCCATGAACCCCAAACCCAAACGCCCTCAACGCGTCAAGGAAGCCTAAAGCCCTAGACCTGCGACCCCTCCGGTGCCCTCCATGCCTAAACCACCTAGGCCTTCAAGCCCTGATCTCCTAATCTCTAGACTCTAACACCTGAACCTCAGTCTCAAAACCCCACCTCGGAGCCCTCCAGTTCGGAGTGAGGCTGAAGCCCGTCTCCAAAGCAGCTCTGCCAAGGCATTCCAAATACCTTCAAAAGCTTAGGTTTCGGGCTTGGGGTTTAGGGTCTAGGGTGGGGGTATATAGCCTTTTGATCCCTAATTCTCCCTAGTACTCCCTAAGGTTCCCTTACAGTCCCCTAAGGATTCCTTATACCCTCCCCCCTTGAACCACCCCCCGGGGTTTAGGGTTTGGGGTTGAGGGTTTAGGTTGGGGGTCGTAGAGTCTGGGGATTAAGGCTTAAGCTTGGGGTTAGTGTTTAGGGTTTAAGGCGTTGGCTGGGGGTTTGGTGCTTAGGGTTTTCGCCCAGGGTTCATATAGGGTCCTAATAAGTAGAAACCGGTTTTTTGGCACGATGAATCATTGTGTTCAGGAGACCGATACTGGCGTCTTTCCATTGTTTTACTTTATGAGTGTTCCGTACAGAGCCCTGCGGGAGAAAGCTTATCTGGTTTGGAGTCCCTTGCTGTTTAGGGCGTTAGGGTTTATGGCTTGAGGTTAGGGTTTTGGGATACCTTCAGCTCGAGTCTCGTTCGGTTGGGAGCGATTAAGACGCATACGGGACCTGCAAAAGACAAGCGGGATGCGAGAGCGCCCAATCCCTCAACCCTGCTTCCTCAACTCCAACCCCTGGACCCCGATCCTGAACCGTAAATGTAAAGCTAAACCCTCATGCCTAACTCCTGCTAAACCCCACAGCCCCTAACCCTCATCCGTAAGCCCTGCGGTACCGGATCCGAGACACTCGCCACGGAGGAAGATACCAAGCATTCCTTCATTGACCTTCTTGGAGGCCTTCCTGGGCTCTTTGCAAAGAAGCTAACTTCAGAGAACAGACCTCAGAGGAAAGCCTACTGTTTACGAGAAATGCATAATCGAACACGCCGTCGCACATATACCTATATATATATACACACATCTATATATATATATATATATATATATATATATATATATTTAGATACACACACACTCTCTATCCCTCTCCTTGTGTCTTTATCTTGATCTCTCTCTCTCGCTCTTTCTCTCTCTCTCTCTCTCTCTCTCTCTCTCTCTCTCTCTCTCTCTCTCGGTCTGTCTCTGTCTCTCTCGCTCTCTCTCGATCTCTGGCTTTCTCTATCTTTCTCTGTTTCTATGCATAGACACACGGTATCGCAATAACGAATTCAGAACCACGTAAATACATACCAAAATAGTGAGCAAAAAGCCTACAAATAAGCTGCATTGTCTTTATCTATACATATCTATGAGCATATACAGATATAAATATACACATGTGTGTTATCATTACGTTTCTGAAGAGCCCAGCTTCGCATAAAGTTCAGGCTCCTCTTGGAGCCGATTGAAATAAAACTCGGTGCCTGAACAGGCGGAGATCAAGGGTTCAGCAGTGAAGGCAAGGGTTTAGGGCTAAGGGTCTTAGGGTCTAGGGCTTGGGGCTTGGAGTTTGGGGTTTAGGGTTCAGCAGTGAGGGCTTGGGTTTAGGGCTTAGGGTTCCAGATGGTTTGAAGCTATTGGACTGCAGGGCTTTGGTTTTGCGATGGTTATGGACTTTGGGGCTGTCTGGCTTTTTGTTCAGGTGGCAATGGCTCTTTCGAGCTTCAGGGATAAGGATGTACAGATTTCGGCTTTCTTTAGGCTTGAGGATTTAGGTTTCCAGGCTTCCTGTAGGTTTGGGGGTTTAGGACTTATAATTCTAGGCATTCTTTCCTGGTTCAAGTCAGTCGCGCCTGGAAAGGTGGATGTCGACTCGAACCAACCCTGGTCGTAGAAGACTTCGGCTAGCTTCCGGGCGAAATCCAGGAAAGCCTTGCAGAAAAAGTTGTCCACAATCAATACATCCACTGAGCTGGAGATACTCCGTGATAAGATGTCAGATTTCTTGAAACAGCACACCTCAGGGACAGCTCTTAAAGCCTAAATTTTTCAGCTTGTCAGATATGCTAGGTCGTTAACTTAATATAGGGGCCTCAATAACGGCCAATGCTGTTCTGGGGTTCCTCTATATAACTATACTATAATGGGTCCCAAAGCCCTACTCTAGTTGCTAAGGCTTACCTACATGATCTCCTCACCAGTCATGCCAACCCCCAGTCACCAAGCACAATAAGCCCTGGAAGCGATAAAACGGAAGCCCAACACTCGGTCTAGGATTTAGGGTTTAGGGACAACCCAGATGTGAGCTTCCGAATATAGGGAGCGGAGTATAGGGGCTTGCATAGTTGCACTAGAAATTTCTCCTTGGGGTACAATGTAATACTTCCAATTATTCTAGGGAGCGGAGTATAGGGGCTTGGGTAGTCAGTTGGAGTAGACTAGGGCTTTGGGGTATACGGTATACTGTAATACATATATTTATGTTAACAGGGGCTATAAGGGGATATTATGACTTCTGGACTACTTGTTCCGACGGCTACAGTGAGGGTTTCGGACAACTTGCGGGGTCCCTATATAAGAAGGATCCGGCTAGCCGGGGTCCGCTTTTGGGTCCCCCATTTTACAGAAACCTGCATAAAGCAGGATCCTGAAGGTAGTCTCTAAACCCCACAGCCTTGCAAGCCCTAAACCTTCAACCCTAATCCGTTTCAGGAGCCCAAACGAAAGCCAGGAGACCTCGGCAGGCTCAGAGCTCACAAGAGATGGCAGCACCAGGAGAAACGCAGGCTTCAGCATGGCGGAAGTCCGGATGAGGCTTCCAGGCTTCAGTCTCTATCTATCTATATATCTATCTACCTATACTTCTATATTTCTATACATATATATATATGTATATATATATATATGCACACACACACACACACACACATGAACTTGTTTTGTTACTGGGTTTCGGGTTTAAGTTTTACTAGGGTTTAGGTTCTCACGGTTTCAATACGGTATACCGGTATACGAGTCATGGTAGGGTTGTATACGGGGGACTAGAGAAGTTCGGGAGCTGTGCTTCGTGGGCTGAGATTTGAAGGCCTACTCGGGCTTAGTAAGTGGGGTTTGGGGTTGGGGATTGGCTGCCGGTTCAGAGGAGAGCAATGCCATCCACGGCCCAGAAGAAACTGAGAACCGACGTACTGTATATTGGTTAAGCACTTCGTCACATTGACACCAGGAAGCCCGAAAACCCTTTGAATGCAGCTGCATAACGTTTCAAAGCTTCTTATCACCGAACCCGAAGGTTACAGCGCTATGTAAGGAAACTCAGAAAGATACGAGACCCGATCCTGACTCAGAGTTAGCACCTCAATTTCAACACCACGTCGAGACCGAAACAGACAACCCAACTTCCACATAAAACCCTCCAAAACCGGTTGATACAACGCTGCGAAGCCCTAGTCACCTGTGACACCTAAACCCTAACATTTAGTTCGAGCAGAACCGCATAACCCATATCACTTAGAAGCTGCCCCCACCCTGTAATAGTGGTATAAAAGGAATGTAATGGGGCCCTAATATAATCCTTATAGTCACTATTACAGGGTGGGGGCAGCTTCTAACATATCACCCTATCCTGTTCCATGGAGATCTCCGTCTGCGACCATCGGCTGATGCCCCCGGCAGGCATATTCGGCTCCTGTCACTTTAGGTGACGGTCTCCGGGTTAAAAAGTTCCTGGTTGAGTGGTCATGTGCTGATGTGCCGGGGTTGTATGGGTTTTGGGGGTCCGGCAGGTTCTACTTGTGTTGTGTGTTTACCATGGTCTTGCAAGGTTTGTTAGGTTTTGGGGGTGCCAAGATCAAGGGCAGCTTTTTACTAGAGTCCTGGATTACCTTAGCCTAGCTCTGAGGGGCCGGTACGGAGTGACATGACAAGAGGCACGCCCAAGGCGCCTTATTGCGAAACCCCTAATCATAGAATAACAAGGAACCCGAAAGACCTCCCTAAGCTGTCTTTCTATGTCTCCATACCAACCAAGATTACAGGGGTGGATTATCGGTGGTTCAGAGAAACCCCGAAATGTCGGAAGCCGTGGTCTGGGATGGTTTGGAAGTTGAGGGACCGGCAATCAAGAACCGAAATCTGCTTCATCCTGCAGAGCTAACAGGGAGGGCTTCCAAAAGATAACGCAGCATTCCCCGAAATCTCCAAAACCACAGATCATGTTGCTACCCCATCGCCCGCATCCCGCCCCCCCCCCCGCCCTTTCTTAGCCCAGAACTCCGAAAGTCCAAAAGCAGACCCTAAAACTCGCCACACCAACGTGGTGGGACCTGCCTCAGACATCCCATCTTCTGCAGCATCTGAGCCGCAAGAGCACTCCTAGCGCTGAGCAGGTCGGCAGGCAAAGCTTTTGGTTTGGAGTTGGGGACTTATGTGTAGGTAGTGGGCTTCGGGCTTGGGGCTTTAGGTGTTTGGGCTTTTGAGGTTCAGGGTCTTTCGATGAATGCCTGTTTCCTAGTGGCCAAGATCCGACATCGACCCTCAAGTGTCGATCGTTTTGAGGTGACCGGGCTTCGATTGCTTCCTGGTGTAGGATCCGAGCGAAAACCTGCTTAGCTGAACCGAAACAGGAGCTACCTTACAGGGTCCATAAACCCCAAACCTCCAAGCCTGAGAATGCAACCTTGCGCTTGGCTTGGGAAGATATGAGGATAGGGGAAATTGAGCAGCTCCCGTAGTGCTGAGACAAGCCCCATTCTCACTACGGGGCAGAAGGAAACGCTACTACCCTTCGTTCTGCTTTTCACTACCAATGACGTGCGGCTTGGGCGGCGTCGAGGTTCAGCTCAACAAGTGAATCGGCTCTTCGTTGTACACGGAAGCCAAATACCCGCAATCAAGCTATATGCATATCACTTCATGTTGAGGACGTCGCTTCTAAAACCTGAAGCTAAGTTGTCGAGGCCCGTAGCAGAAGCAACGGACAGCAGATGCGAGCTGAAAAGTCACTGGAGCTCAGTTTGGCTTTGAGAGTTTGGAGGCTACATCCCCAAGACCTCAGATCCCTTACAGATCCCCTGACAAAAAACCTCGTCTCAGGCCTCTTCACATTTCCTCATCGACCCTTCAACACAGGGGAAGCCGTGCAGGATGCCGGGGCCTTGAACATGCGGGTTTACGGCTTTCGGGCCTAGGGGCCATAAACCGAATTTGCTGTTAGGCGCCATTGTTTGCAGCTGAAACTTTGTGCACTCCTTCCAGACGAGTTACGATTTTCGAAATGCTGCAAAAAGAAGAGATTCTCCCAGGATATTGAAACGTGTCTTCTGCACTGAATATACTGAATCAGCCAAGCTTCTTCTGGCGACGACGGGTCTGGATCGGGGGCCTGTACTCCTGCATCCTCGAAAGGGCTGTGAGGAAAGCTACGGACACATAAGACATGCAGTTGCTAGCATGGCAGGCTCAGGGATCTTGTACGTAGCTTGTAAGCAAGGTCGATCAACTGTCGTTTTCAGTGAAGAGGCGGACTAGAGTCCAGGCTTCATCCCACAACAGTACAGACCTCGTCAACAAGAAGCTTGCTGTGAGTAGATGAAGGGTTAAGGTTTTCTTTCTTGCCTACGGTGCAGGACATAAAGTATCGGGTTCTGGGCTCAGTCTTCGTTGTAGTTGTCCTGCTGTTGGGGTTACCTAGAGCCGACAAGCTTTCCAGCCTTATGTACTGAGCTTCAAAATATTTCTGATACGAAACCACTGCCCACACAAACAAGCTTTACCCTGGCTGAAGACTTCAGAACCTTCAGTGAAGCACAATTCGAATATCTTAGACAGAATCCAAATGCACCGAAATCCTGTAAGCATTCAACCCTGCCGGTCGCTGGGATCAGCTCAGTGCTAACATGAGAACGAATAAAATTGCGTCGTGCAATCTTGCCCATGGTCCTTCAGTACGTTGCCTCGTTTGGCTTCATAGCAAACAGTGTGCGCATTGCAAAGGATCCTACAGTTCGAAATTAATATATCAGTGTGCCTGCCCATGTTGTGGCACTTGCACATTGCTCAATTACCGCACAAACCGGACAACCTAAAACAACCTGAACTTCTGAACTACTGCAACAGTACACATATGTCGCTGAATCTCGCTGAACTTACGTATACAACATCACAACATAAAACAACATACTAAAATGTAATATGATGCACTGTAGTGTCCTATGCACTTTAATATACTATAATATACCACAAGATCCACTAGTGTACTGCAATACCTTCGGAGGTTTCGTTATGACCCGAGTCCTTCGGTTCCACGGGCACATAATCCGAGAACTTCGCGCGACAAGCTTTGCAAAGAACCTGCAGGCCGCAGATTCGTCTAGATATCGGGCTCAGGGTTTAGGGGTTCAGGGTTTAGCAGGACTACGCGGTTGAGGGTTTATGTAGAGCCCTTAAGACCTGCAGAACCTCCATCAAGGACTGTAAACCAAAAACGCCTACAACCTAAACCCTCATCCTAAACCATTCCTAAACCCTGCCTGTAGCCGAAAAGCCTTTTTTGGGGGTTCCTTTTCATGCTTTCCATAGATGTTATGATTCCTTACAAAGTTCGTTTCTTTTGGGCGACCGGTACATCCTGAACCCAAGCCCTGAACCGATGAGCTAGTCTGAGGAATGATTGGGGTTGGGGCCTCACAAGGACTAAAAGGTTTCTCCTTGCAGATTGAAGAGTTTTTGTTTTCACATTTTGGTTTAGGGTTTAGGGCTCAGGCGTGCTTTCTCTTTGCTGTTTCTCAGTGAAGGCGTTTCGTTGTCGTCTTTCGTGCGATTCCCTCCACGGCGCCAGACGTAGGTCGAATCCGTTCTCCAACCCATAGAAAAAAACCTTGTCCGCAGGGTTGTACATCCCGTTGTCGGCGTGTCGTGATGGCCCTCGGTAACATCGCTGTTTTAGGAAAGGGTGTACCAGTGTAAATTGGATCCTATATTCTCATATAAGCTATGCACAGCGCATGCAAGGACCATGACCGAAGCAGCGATAATCTGGGCACTACATCGATGCCCATACAAGGAAAACCCGCATCCTATGCGGCTGGCAACAAATCAAACTACCAATAGACGGCGCATGTGTACTACCAGTCGCTACCGTCGCGAAATGAAGCCCGGAAGCCAATCCTGGTTGCCAGGGCTTCTCGCTTTTGCGGCTCCGGTACCATCTCTGAACCCTGAACTCTAAACCTATGCTAGGATGCCCAGTAATCTAGGAACAAGAAGGGCTCCTTTTTGGTATTGGGTAACTGCGTAAGGAACCTAGGACGACTAAAATGGAATACGGGTACTACTGGGCATCCCAGTATAAACCTCAACAGTGGTACTGCTGGTCTGCTTGTTAAGAGAAGGTGAGGGCCCGACATGCACTGGCACGTACCTCACGTGGACCTGCTTGTCACTTCCTCCAACTGGTCGTCCTTGGCTTTTCAAGGGTTTGAGCTTTAGGGTTGGGTTCAGCTTTTGTGGTTTAGGGGTCTAAGGACTATCGGGTTTAGGCTCGGCCGTTTAGGGATTATAAATTACGATCTAGGGTGCCAAATAGATACAACATTGCCAAGCGGTCGTCCCAACGTTGGGGGAATACAATCATTCAACATACCAACAGTACCAAGTCAGGTCCCCTTATTACGACGCGCCATTATTGTTCATGTCAATATAAAGTAGACCCATGACTTGCCCCTTCCCTTCAGTACGGGATATGTCACCGTTCAGGATATCAATGTCAAGGCCACTCAAGCAAGGGAGTGAGTTTC